TRMKTTTTYCGTCTTTTTGCTTCTTTTGATTAATTTGCACTCCCAAATGGTCCTAAAATGTCATAAATACAATATAAGCCAACCACAAACCATAATATATGAATTTTGCATGAATTGGAATTCAAACGACCGAGAAAAATCCGAAACAAAGCTGAAACATAGTAAAAACAGCATCTAAAACCTTTTTTTTACGCATGTGAACAAGCGTAATCAGACAGCATCGCACTTCAACACCCCAATGGCATTAAATAGTGCAGTTGAATTCCCAAAGGACCAAGATCCAGTTGATGCTACTCTATATAGAAGTATTGTGGGCTCATTACAATATTTGACCCTATCACGACCAGATATCACACAAGCTGTCAATAAAGTTTGTCAGCACCTTCAAAATCCCATGGGTCAAAACTTCCAAGCCGTCAAACGAATTCTAAGATACATCAAAGGGACAACAGACTACGGTATACTTTTCCATAAAAATAGTCCCTTAAATTTATATGGTTTTTGTGATGCAGATTGGGGAGGATGTCAAGAAACTCGACGAAGCACGACAGGATTTTGTATTTTTCTTGGAGCCAATTGTATATCATGGTCCTCAAAGAAACAACATACCGTCGCAAGATCAAGCTCAGAAGCAGAATATAGATCAATGGCAAGTACAACTGCTGAACTCACATGGATAACCTTCATCCTAAGAGATATAGGAATCAAACTCCTTCAACCACCACAATTGTTTTGTGACAACCTGAGTGCTCTTCAAATGTCTATCAATCYTGTKTTCCATGCTAGAACTAAACACATYGAGATGGACTATCACTTTGTTAGAGAAAAGGTGGCATTGGGATCACTYGTCACTCGGTATGTTCCATCTACTGAACAACTAGCAGACATCTTTAYTAAGCCTCTCGCCAAGACTCCCTTTCGAAATCTACGGTCCAAACTTGGAGTTCACGCTCTAGCACACTCCAGTTTGAGGAAGAATGAAAACTTAGATGATGATGACACATCAGCACAATCCACTTCAGCAAWCCAATCACCTCCAGCCCAACATGATGAGAATATACACACAAAGATGATTCCCACGGAAGCCCACTAATTGACATCAACAAGGCAACAAAGCAATTATAATTACCATACATAGCAGGTGGTATATTAGCCTTATACAGCAGCTCACAGTTCCCTTATACAAGAACTCTAAATTGGAATGTTTCTAAAACAATGGAAAGCGATCAGCCCACCAAATCATTATGTAAGTGCAATTCTTACCATTGAGATTGCTGACTATTAGGGCCAGCTAAAATCTTGCACTATTTTTACTTTCTTTCCTTTATTGAAGAACCCCTTCGAGCGATATAGCGATATTTTTAATGTATATAATCACCATGGATCAAGATCAGAAACATAGAGAATTCTACTAAAAGTGTCTTGTTGGTCCATTGATTCTTTTACATACTGTATATTTACATAGGTTTTCTACTTCAACTTTCATTCAAGAAATGGAAATGGTAAAACAAACGAGAGATATTTTTCACTACTTTGAAATTAAAATAAAAGATATGAATAGAACAAAATTAAAGACAACTAATCCTTCAGAGAGGATGACTAAAACTCAAATATAAAAAAATGGGGCTTGTGTCCGTGTTACTGTGATTTTACTCACTGATGCTCCAACAACGAGGTTACTCTAGCCAAAAGGTTTTTAAAACTAGTGGCCAAAGTGACGTGGCCTCCCAGATTGCTCAGATTTTGATGCTAATCCAAAGTCCATTTGAATCAACGATATATCATAACAATTTTTTGTCATATTAGGTGAATCTTATCCCTTCAAAAATACATCTAATACAAGTTAAAGTCGTCCTCTTCCTATTACAATCTCTCGAAAGTTAATAAAGAGTTTAACATGGTGAACAAACACATTGAACTTAAAAATGCAAAATAAACTTTAACTAAGTAGAAACAACTTTATAAAGATCCACAATCCCTTAATGTGTATTTAGCTACTTAACTCCATAATGAAGAAGAGGGAAGAAGAAAATACAAAACATGAACTAAAGAATACAAAAGAAGAAGAAAATGAAGAATAGCAGCAGCACTTGTATCAGCTCCCTTTTTGTCTTCTTTAAGTTCCTCCTAAACAAAATGTAAGAATCTTTCGTCCTCTCTTGTACGTCTTGCTCTCTCTAGGAATTGATGAGGCGATCGTTCTGACATAAGACTCACGATAGAGATCATAAAAGTGAGAGAGATCATAATATAAGACTTACGATAGAGATCATAAAGTATTGTCGGGAATGAAAATGGTAGAAAGAAGGAGACAAATGAAAATTAATATTTTAGACGGAGAATATTAGAGAGAACGAGGAAATAATATTAATATTCTATAGACGAAAATTTTAGAGAGAATAATAAGATAAATATTTTTAGAACTAATAAATTTGAGAGAGATATATAAATTTTTAAAAGAAAGATATGTCAAAGGGAGAAAAGAAAAAAGAGAAGATGCATTAATTTTTTTTTTACGGAAAAAAGGTTACTAAGAGAATTTCAAAAATGCTTTTAAAAAGTAGAACATTTTTTAAACATTTTACTAATTTCTCATAGTATAACAAATTAAACATCAGGTAGAAGGAAAAATTGTCCAAGTAGCTCAAAGAGAGGACATGATTAGAGTTTTCTCTTATTTATATTTTTCTTGATTCAATTCAATTTGAATTAAATCATCAATAAAACAAAAGTTTAATATGATTGGTTAAGTAAATTTATCTTTTATTCATACTATAACAAATGTTCATTTGTGTCCTTCAAAGTTAACACAAAACTTAAAAAGTGATTATTAATATTAATTGAATCGAAAATGATACTTCAAAATTTATGCACTAACAACCATCCATAATGTGAAGAATAATTCTCTAAAAATAAGTATAAGAAAAATGAATTTCAACAACCTTATTGAACTATTATAGAAAATACCCGAAAAAAATAACTATAAGTTAAAATTATATATATGTATATACCTTGATCTACAATTCATATATATATGGTTATACAAACAAAATTCCACATATAATCATCACACTCATGTCTCAGCCAGTTTGAAATTTATATGTTTAAAATGTGATCATTTTTCCCACCATTGTACATCAAATGAGAAATTATTTAATGTCTTTCTAAAGTGGGAATTAGAGAAACATGCTTAAAAACTATGTAAAAAATTATAGTAATGCAAGGTCGATTCAGAACCCATTTCATCTCTCAATCTCATGCTTAAAAAAAAAGCCCAAAATAAAATATATGCACTTTAGTTTATGGATTTTATTTTTGTATAAATTAATCATGCAAATATCTCTGATAAAGGGAAGAATAATGTTTGTAATCATGTTTCAAATATTTTTAATTCTCTTTTTTTCATGTGGGCCGACTTAAAGCACCGATCACACCGTAGAGGATTAAAGAATTCATTTCTCAGTCCGGGACACCAGACACTCCACATTTTTAGGATGATGGTATAATATTGTTCTTCACTTATATATCCACGATCTTCTTTTTACGATTCTTCCTTGAACTAAGTACTACTGAGTCTTCTCTTAAATAGTCATCCATCTGTCCAACTCTTATTCAAATCAACGATCCTCTACCCTAGTGACTACTATTTTCCAACTCCCACCACTTCTTTGTTTGACACTTGAGGATTCTACCAACATGGTTAAGTCAAGGACATGGCTCTAATACCACCTGTTAGGGACAACGAACCCTTCATATTTCCATAATGATATGATATTGTATGTTTTGGGCCTAAAAAGTCTAAAACCAATAGGGATGTTGYCGCTCACTTATATATACTCATAATCTTCCCATTATTTAGTCATTGTGGGGATTTGGTCGCATTCCAAACACCTTGTCTCCAAAAAATTATTGGAAGGGAAAAGTTCCTCCAATCTTCTACCACGATCCCCATCTAAAATTGGGATTCCTCACATCATTGGGAGGGGACCTCACTCAATTGGAAATTTTGTCATTTCTAATATAGAAGCATGAAAATAAAAGTTTGTAAAGATAGAGGGAGTTTTAGAAATAGTAAATTTAACCATCATGGGTGGCTCATATATGGTCTAAAGAGGCAAATTTAGCTGAATAAAAAAAGATTTAGAGTTTAGTTTGAGTTTCTATTAGGTCCCTAGATTTTAAAATATTAACATTTTTACTTTTGAATTTTACATGGCGGTCACTTAAAATAAACATTTTAACATGTAAATATTTAAACGATTTAAGTTAAGATTAAATAGATCCATCAACATTTAAGTCACCATTTCGATAGAGTTATCAGCGAAGACGTCATGTGAGAGAGCAAAAGTAAGTAATAGTGAAAATTTATGAGCAAAAGTATTAACATTTTAAACTAGAGATTAGACGAAAACTAAACTCAAAAATTAAGGTATAGAAGTATAAAATTTTGAAAATCAGTAACCAATAAAAACTAAACTCAAAATTTTAGGACCAAATAAAAAACAACTCAAAATTCAAGATTAGAAACGTGATATTTTAAATTTTAGGGACTAAATAGAAATTAAGTTAATATAGTGGAAAAAATGTAATTTTTCCAATAAATAAAAAGGTGTGGACTTGGAGACATTATTATAATTAAGACAATTCCAGACCATCAAAAGTGCAGCCAAAGAGATAAGTATGCTAAAATATCATAAGCACACAATGACCAATTTATCCTCAATAAAAACAAGAGTTAGGAGGAGACATTTTGGGGTATTTATGTCATTTCACACTCAATCCCAGAAAATTCCTCTTAAAAATGAATACAAATAAGGATGAAGGCACTCTCCCATTAACACACAAAAAAAAAAAAGAAAAAAAAAGAGCTCTCAGAAATTTCAGAGAAAATGGAGAGTGAAGCAAAAAGCAATCAATCTCTTGGGTAATTTCTCCCCATCTCTAATATGTTTTAATCTCTTCATTTTATTTATTATTTATTTAAGTTTACTTTAATTACCACAATGTATTTTTAGATTAGATTATGATACGATATGAATCTTCGTACATAATTATGGATGTTAATTTAAACATAGCTCAAAAGATAAGGTACCTATTATCATCTTAAAAGTCGATATTCGATTCTTCGCCTTAACAAGTGTTCCTATTCATAAGAAACAACATTATTTGATTCTTGTTTCCATGTAATAATTAGTAACTAATATAGATATTGAGAAAAGAAAAACTTTTTTTCCAAACAAGAAGGGAGAGAGAAATTTCTAGGGGTTAAGAATGTTTTCCTTTAAATATTTCATGGTATTTGATTCCATGTCATTAAGTGTTTTTCAAAATGTTTTTATTAAAAGATTAAAACTTATTGGATAAAAAAAAATCAAGGTATTCCTTAAAATATTCTTAATATTTTTAAAATTAATAAAAAGAGGTCTAATAGTAAATTTGCCATGATTTAAATCAATATAGGCATACAAGTAGTGATTCTATATTATTTTATTTTTGAAATGATATATCCACAGTTACTTTTAAAATATATATATATTCTTTACGATGAGTGGGATAGAGATTCGAACTCATAACCAATTGATCTGTGAGAATTACTAATTATTGCTGAGTTAAGTTCATTTAAAATATATATATTTAAATTTTCCAAAAAATCAATTATATATATATATATATATATATTTTGTTCTTTTTGTTTCTATTTAGTGCGGCAGGAATTGGGAAGGCATATTGCAAATGTGGGGAAGGTTGGAAATGTGAGATCAAAATGACACAAGGCCCTGATGCTGGCAAGACCTTTGTTAATTGTGGCAACAACTGCATCTGTATAATGTAAGTCAAACCCGTCATTTCCTTAAATCATCAATAGACGACCTAAAAGTTTTAGTAAGTTAGAATAAATTTGAGCATATAAGCTTGAATCAACCTGACCTCAAGAAAGGAAGTTATATATATATTGCTTTTACCACTGAGTTAATGCTTTACATATGAGCTTTAAATTCACAATTTCTATCACTTTTGTCCAACAACTCAAATACATGTTTACATAAATTCAAAAATTTTAATCTCAAACTTCATAAATCCAGATTTACTACCACCATGAACCAAACGTCCCTTTAGTTTGATGAATTGAGATAAAGTTCAATCTCTTAAATGCATGATCAGTCGGATTACTTTAGATTTCGGGTTTTGGATTTAGGGTTTTCTCACACCATTGATTTTGAACAGAGAAGGGACAGCTGAAGGGGAAGTCAAGTTGCAGCAATTGGCAGAGGAGAGCAATTTGGAAGGGGCAACTTGTGAGTGTGGTGAAGGATGGAGCTGCACCATCTCCAAGATTGAAGCCACCAAGTCCTTTGCCAAGTGTGCTGGAGATTGTTCCTGCATCACTATTGCTTGATTTATGATTTACGATCACGTCGATAACTATTTCGTTTTTAGTTTTCTACAAGTTTTAAAACAAAAAATAAGTTGAGAAAACTTTTTTTTATTTTAAAATTTGACTTAGATTTTAAAAACGTTTTTAAAATGTACTTGATCTCTGTATTTTCAAAATAATGTCTGAGTTTGGTTTGTGTTCTGTCATTGTACTTTTAATTTTGTCTGTGTAAATGTCTTCTTAGTGCATAAATGAATATAAAACACATTGCTATGTTTTGTTAAATGGTTTACGAAAAATTAATAGGTTAGACTTTAAATCGATTTCTTATGTGCGAAATGTTTGGGACTTAAAAGAATAGTTAAAAATTATTGGACTAAAATATAAATTTATAAAATACATGGAGATGAAAAATTTAGAAAAGATAATGATAAATATTTAAAATGTTAACATTTTACCAAGAAAAATAATTTCTTTAGAGAGATATTTATGAAAAACAAATTTAGAGAGAAAAAATGGGTTAGAAATCAATATGAAAAAAAAAATTGAGTATTACAAGGAAAGAAAAAGAGATTTTGAAAAAGAAAAATCTATTTTTTAAAACGAAATAGTTATTGAACGAGTCCTAGACATTTTATTTTAAAAATTAAATCCTAATAAAAGAATATATATACATGGTCTCTCCTCCTTTTCTTCCTCACATGGTCTCACTTTCTCTCTCAAATGGTTCTCCCTCGTCTACCTTTGCACACAGAGGATAAAGTTTCAAAAGCAATTCCTTTCATTTCAATATTTTCATGGATGTTCTAAAGCGTGTATAAAATTAAAAGTTAGATTTATAATGGCCAACATCATGTTAGAATATTGGGAGAATTTTAGATGAAAATATTGCTGTGCTGTAGAAGAATCACTACTGCAATTTCGACACAACCACGATACTACATCGTATGTTGTTGATTGCTTCTCAAGATTAACACAACTTCAATTAATTTGATCACACAAATAGTTGTAAGCCATAAAAAAATGTCCTTTCATCCTTCGTAAACTAAATAGAAATTGAAATTGATACTAAAAATTGAAATGTTTTCGTGGAAATACAAAGGTAGAGGAATGAGAATCGCAGAGAGAGAAAACTAGACCAAGAGAGGAGGAAAAGTGGGAGATGGTAAAAGTTTTTTTTTNGATTTTTAAAATAGAAAGTTTATGTGTGAATTTTTTCAATTGCCAAATTTTCAGAGATTTAATTTTTGTAATTAAAAATTTACAAGTTTAAGAGTGAAATTGTAACAATGAAATTACAATAATCATCGTGTGGTTTGTACTATTTGCCCTAAAATAAAATGAACTTTATGTATCTCGAAACTGTAACTTAAATCTGATCGAGAGAGATTGAAATTAATTATACAAAATATAATATAATTTTTTTAAAGAAAAGAAAAGAGTGTAAAAGGAGAGAAAACGAAAGGAAATTTGGGTTTGGGCCTGGCTAACTGGCCCAACCCAATGTAAAGAAAAATGAAACAAATATAACTCATATCTAAGTATGTAAAATGTACAGAAATTGTATAGTTGGTCTTACCCACATAGACATTTCAAAAATGTCATATATATTTTTAAAATATTTATAAATCTAGATTTTCAGAAATTTTTTTTCCTAAATTATTCTCAATAAACGGCATTTTATTATATTTCAAAAAGTATTTTTTAGAGTTTAAAGTTTAGGTTCTAGGGTTTAATATTTCAAATTTAGAATTTTATTTCTTTATTAAAAAGAGAAATTGTCTCGGACAATTGAAAGGAGAAATTGTCAAATTTAGGGTTTAAGGTTTTTCTTCTCTTATTAAAAATATATGAATATGGGTAATTTGGTCATTCTCACATAAGCCCGGATCACCTCCATTTTGACAAAATTGAAAAATATTAACATTTAAGTCATTTATTTAATTAAGTTCTAGTCTACATGGGTACTTATCCTAAAATGGAAATTTTCTTTTAAATAATTACTTTTTAAAAACAAATGACAAAATTAAGATAAGTTTCAAAGTAATTACAAAAATAGGATAGATAAATCGCAGGGATGGACTGCGATTTTACCAAAGTCGGTACGGACTGCGCGTGATTAATGTCAAAATCGCGGTCAATGACTGCGATTTCACTACTGACGGCTCTTGGTTCTTCTTTTTTTTTTTTAATTTGGAAGTGGCTGCGACTTCCCTTGTTTTTTTTCCCTTCTTTATTATGTTGAAGCTACTTATTTTGTTTTTTCATTTTTTTATAAATTTTGAATTTAGGAGTTGCATGGGATTTCCCACCAATCTCTTTTGTTCTTTTTTTTTTAATTTTATTTTAAAAAATCAGAATTAAAAGAAATATAAATAAATTATATAATTTTAATTTTCTCCCTATTTGAAAAATAGATGATGAATTATCCAAAACATGATAGACATCTTCATGTAATATAAAACAAACAAAACCCTAATGATCCATACCCTAGATTCACAAATGCCTCTAAATTCCAAACCAAAATCTGAATTTTGTTTTAAAGCCATCTATTTGGGGATGCAAATGACAAAATAAATGACAAAACATGTGAGTTTCATGTAATTTATACTTTGACTTTATGTTTTTATTAATTTAATAATTTTTTATCAATTTAGTTTATATTAAATTTAAATGTTATTTTATAGAATATAAAAAAATGAAGCACAGGAAGCTAAATGACATTTTAATCATAGACTTGGTTTTGATGTAATTTTAAACTTTCAAACTTTAAATGACATTTTAATCCAAATTTAAAATATAATAACCAAAAAAATAAAAAAAATTAATCACATGTTAATTAAATTTCGTAATATTAATAAAATAAAAATTAAAAAGGTGGTACGCGACTCCAAAAATAAAAAAGTGAAAGTCGTGTACAATGTTCGCGACTTTCGCCTAGTAACCTGCGACGTCAAATTACACGTTTGTACGAAAATCGCAGACATTATACGCGAGTTTTGATTTTTATTTTGACCTAACATAACCTACGTTTGAATTTATTTATTTAAATTACATTTATTTTATAGTCATTTTTAAACTAACATTATTTTTGTAATTTATTTTTAAAATTAGATTATTTTAAAACTTTATCCTCAAGTGTATTGGGATATATTAAGTGGTGTTTAAAAAAAATACTCAATTGCCTGAAAAATCCAATCAATCTCATATATTTATTTGGGTTGAACTGGATTTAAATAAATAAAAATTCCATAATTCAGGTTGGTTCAAGGCTTCATATAAAATGAAATTGGGTGGATCAAACCCATCCAAACTCAAATTTATTAACAATTTAGATCATTGCTTTTACTCACTATCAAATCATATAGGGATATATTTATTTCAATTTTATTTCATTCGATAATTCTCTATAGATTTTTTATCTTTTAACAATTTTTAGAAAATTTTCAAAGTTTTAGAGTGTAATTTTTTATTATATAAATAAATATTGATTTAATTCAATGTTAAGAAAATATATAGACAAACTTCTTTTTGTTATTACACAACATTTTTAGCAATAAACTCGAATAACGCAAACCAACCCGACCTAAATATTTTTATCGTTGGGTTATTTTTCGGCTTATTTCAATGTGCAATAATATTTCTCGAAAGCTTCAGCTTGAGCTTCTCTCAAATTTTTTATGATGAGATGACCCCAGAGAATAGGTTGAGATGGTCGTGTGAATGGTGATGAGGCCTTTTTTCTTAATAATTATTTTTTTGCATATCTTAAACCGATCCAAGTTTGAACGAACTCGAAATTGAACGAACCTGTACAATTGGTCATTTCATTTGTACACATGAATAAGTTACGTCAAATTTCTCTTAAATCTAACTTAATTTTTAACGGTAATAAATTAAATTGTAACCAATTTTAAAGTATAAAGACTAAATCATTACTTTTAAAAGTTGATGACTAAATCGTTGGTTTAATGAAAGTTCATAACTAAATGTGGATTTTTTTTAAGACGGAACATATTACTCTAGTTAACACTTGATTTATTTAATTTAAACAAAAATTTTATTAATTTAAAATATAATGTTCCATCACCGCTATATTGTTACCAAAGTTATATATTATTGTGTTGGGAGTGATGGTAGGATGAGAGATTTTGAAAAATGAGAGTTTTTTTTTAACGGGAAAATAAGAGTTAAGTATAATTCATTTTCCAAAATCATTATTATATCTCAAAAAAGTGATTTTAAACTATACTAAAATCAATTTTTTAATTTGACAAACATAATCAATGGAAATTGAAGATTTTAATAATGACAAAAGTGATTCGGTGTAAATCTGAAAATTATGTGCTACAAATATAAGATTTTTTTTATATTTTTAAATTTCTGTTTATATTCATTCCCAAATAATGAAAATGGAGAGAGAATAAAAGGAAAATAGATTAAAAGAATCCATACAAAACAACCAAAATGCTGAAAGTTAGAGAAGAATCTTAGAAAAGGAAAAAAAAAAAAAGTTTAGAACTTTTTGATTAATTATGTTATGTCTTTTTATCCAATGAAGCTAGCTTTGAACTTGACCATATTTCCCTCATTACCCCTTCAAATTCACATATGCATTTCCCATGGATGTTAGCAAATGGCCAGTGGCAGGACCATAACTTTAAAAAGAGAGAAGAAGAACCAACTTGCTATCATTTGTGGTGGGGAATAATTGGTGCATATGATTGAACTTTTATTCTATGTCATAAGGAAATCTTTCTCTAGAAAAGAAAAAAAAGTTTCATATTATTTTTCAGTCATTTATTTTCGAATTTGGTTCATTTTGATTCCGGTAGTTTTACGACGTTCATTTTATTTTCTATATTTTTAAAAAGTTACTATCTTAATCCCTACATTTCTATTTTTTATCTCATTTTTTTCGATCATAACTTCATACTACACTTCACTTACTAAATTTCTTGAAATAAAAATATAAATTTGAATTAAAATTTTGCAAATAGGGACCTGGTCGCATTTTAATTGTACATGAACCAAAATGAACGTTTTGAAAGTATAATGACCGACTAAAAGCTGAAAATATAAATATCAAAATGAAAATAAAGATACCATAATTTTTCCTTTTTTTAACAGAATTTTTTTTGGGTGATTATTGCAGGATCAATTCTCAAAATTTTGGTGTTTTAAGGGTGCTCTAATAAATTTGATGATATT